ATATTGTACAGTGGCATTAAGTGCCGATATGTGCACCTCTGCCTACCCCTTCGGAGATAAAAAGGCGTGATGTTATGTTATGTTATGAATTTTCTAATTAACATTATAATAAGATGAAAAAAATTTAGTCTAGATTAATGCCTAGTGTTTTACAGGAACAGTAAATTTCGTTGTTCTAATAGCAAAATTATAATTATGTAATCACCTTTACAAAATTTCGCCGACATATGAGAAATAATAAGCAGAGAAAACTACTGTTTTCTTCTAACACTTTAACATAAATGAGCACTAAAATATCTAGATAAGTCATGCAGTTGATTATTCGTTTCCTACTTTCTAACAATAATACCATGTTAAGCTGACGGGAAGTAACTTCAAGGCATCCCTTTCTCGTCAGTAAATTGATGGTTTGCCTTCACAATTGCTTGTTAGCTTTTTTACATGAGTTTTCTTTTTATTCTTCGAAATAAGTAAACTAAGCTAAGTTGTTAGGCATATTTACAAGTAGATAGTTATCTTGTTGGCCTCATTATTATTTTATTCGCGTTGAAAACAAGATCCAAGTTGGTATCAAGTGATTGTTTAAATATAAAATACTGTTTTAAAGTGTGTTGTTGTGTTTTAATGTTTGTTTTAACTGAACTTATTATGAGATAACTTGTAATATATTTTTTTATGGTATAAGCTGGTAAACGAGCAGACGGATCACCTGATGGTAAGCTATCGGCGTCGCCCATGGACACCTGTAACACCAAATGCGTTACAAGTGCGTTACCGGCCTTTTGGGGATTAGGAGTTTGAGGATCGTTGGGGATTCAGGGATTGGGGAGATTGGGGAAGGGGAGGGTAATTGGGCCTCCGGTAACCTCACTCACACGACGAAACTCAACGCAATCGTTGCTTCACGTCGGTTTTCTGTGAGGCCGTGGTATCATTACGGTCGAGCCGGCCCATTCGTGCCGAAGCATGGCTCTCCCACACTTATAAAAATATGTTGACTGAACTGATAATTCATAAAATTGCTGTAAACTGGAACTCGTCAATTATAATTTATGAATAATAATTGCATGCCTTGATTGGTGGAACATGGTGTACTGCACATTCATCTATAACATCTTGCAATGCATTTAAATGTACTGTGTTCAGCAATAAAGATATTAGAATTTGAATTTGTTGAGACATAATTATACCGACAAAACAAATGTCTGAAGTAAAAGTACTTATATTAATATCATATCATTACCTATTTTATAGAAAAGAAAATACCTTAGCTGCCTTGCATATTGCTTACCATTTTTAGATAAAGTAGGCTTATGCTGCGGTCCACCTCCAGGTTTCATTCCTGGAGAGTAAATATGAAACTTTGGTCGCCACCCTTCCTGGCCGAAACTACAAGAAAATACTTCCGACTGATGTTCTATCTGAAATCAATAATAAACTGTAATGAGGAAAAATTGCTTCTGAAATAATATTAAATGTGTTGGCATGTCATTCATTGTTTATATTTTTGGACCAAAGTGATACCACGGCCTCACAGAAAACCGACGTGAAGCACCGCTTGCGTTGTGTTTCGTCGTGTGAGTGAGGTTACCGGAGGCCCTATTACCTCCCTCCCCTTCCTCAATCTCCCCAATCCCTGAATCCCCAACGATCCTCAAACTCCCAATCCCCAAAAGGCCGGTAACGCACTTGTAATTCCTCTGGTGTTCCAGGTGTCCATGGACAGTATCAGTATGCCACAGAAATCACTCTATACTCCCATATTTCCCAATAACAATATTGGCCTACTTCAATGACATACCAATACTACCAATTGTTTGTAAACCTTTTACTAATTTACATCTAACTATACTAAATTTATGGTTCTCTCTTCAGAAATAAAAACGAAGAAAATTACAGTTTCTTTCTATCACTTCTAGCATAGACCACGGATGGAGCACCATCAGGTGATCTTTCTGCTCGTTTACTGATAAAGATAAAGTCAAAGCATTTATTTCAGTTAAACCATAATTTGGTATTATTGAAACGTCGACAAATCCTTACTAATATTATAAATGTCAGTGTCTGGTATATGTCACATAGGCTACTTTGTATCCTTTTGTGACGCGAGCGAAGCCGCGGGTAAAAGCTAATACAAAATTAATAAATACTGTCAGTCAGTCCGTCAGTGAAGCTAGGTGCTCATTCCAAAATGTAGATTCGAGTAGAGAAGAACGAGCAAGAAACTCCATTCGTTACTCTTTTTAAAAAAAGTATTTTCTATAAAGTCTCTGATACATATTCCAATACTGTACGTATATGTGAGAACAATGCAAAGACACGCGTGACGCGTTATACTAATTTGGCTTATCCCGTAAAAAGTGATCATCACAATCTTTTCTCTTAAAAGACGCAATCATACTTCCTTGGTCTACTCACAGCTAAACCTTCAACACGTTCCAGTATGAAGCAAGCAGATAGAACTTCTCTGCAGAACGAAGACCTGAACAGGACTTGGGCGTGACCAAGCTGCATGTCTGATACTGACATTCCGCCAACTTCGTTTTCCTGTTAATCAACATTATTGAAGTGGGTTTTTAATAATAGTTTAATTATTTATTCAGATAACTAAGATCCATCAAACTAATAGTAAAGGAAGAACACAATCATACATAACTAGGTACAATATTATAATAAGCAAGAGTAAACAGGGTTCCACATCAATGGACAGTCATGTCTACCGGCTATAGCAGTCAGAATACCGTGGTGACTTCCACGCAGGTGACTGATGAGCGATGCGGTCTTTTTGCGCCATAACGCAGCAAATGTTTAATGGAATGCAGTAAATAATAAATAAATAAATAATAATAAAACTTTATTCATAATAACAAAAATGCAAAATTCGAAAATATATCTAAATTACGTACAATTGACCTCAAATAGTAAGATGCCTGCACTAGGACAATCCTGTATCGCAGGCGAGAGGTCTAAATATAATTTTTACAATAGCACATCTTATTTCAGTAAGCAACAGAAAATAATATATATAATGATTATTTTAATATACATACATTCAAACATACTTACATACAAAACATAACCTCATACCCTAATTTTGTATTTGCAGTGTTTATTAAGCAGTGCGATATCAAGCAAGGAATTTCTAGTTTGATTTTCGGGTTAGGTATAGTATAAAGTAATGGGTTTTTCTTCCAGATTTTTATAACATAATAAACCATCAATAATCAGACTAAGCTTTATTACAGCTTTTCCTAACTAATACGCAGAACTAAATTGCAATCAGTGTGTTATTATAGGCTTGATCCGGAATTGAACTTCAGAACCCCTCGCTCGTCCATCGTAATTGCGGTCAATCTATCATTTCGTTACATGGATAGTATTCAATCACTACAGTACTAAGACGTGGAAGTTACCTTGCTACGTTCATGTACGCTAATCGGTTCCGGTTTAGTAAACTGACTTCGAATTAGCAAGGACACATTGAACGTGTTCAAACATGGTTTAGATTGAGTTGAACCTACTTAGAGTGAGCTTTTATTGGAAACCATGGTTGTTTAATTCTGGAGCTGATTAAAGTGGTATATAGAGGTATTTTGAAATTGAATGCCTCGTTGAATGAGTGTGGTCGCAAATGCGACTGCCGGGAAAGGTGTCTCCGGTTCGATTCCCGGGTCGGACAAAATATTACTGGGATTTTAAAAAATTCACTGTAGTAGCACGGAGTCTGGAATTGTGCCCGGTAAATGGCAAGAGGTTCACCCCCTATTACATGGGACTCATAACATAAATAGTGAAAAGTGGGTGTTACATTGTACAGTGGCATAATGTGCACCTCAGCCTACCCCTTCAGGGATAAAAGGCGTGATATTATGTTATTTTGAAATTCTCAAAGTGATTTTGAGCAATGATTATATTCTCAACTGCCTTTTAATTTATGCCAAGGTTTGACTACGCACTCCCAGCAGTGCATAAAGGCATCTCATGTTTTTTCCTCTACGAAACTCGCTTGGAACAAACATCCAGTTTAATTCCTATCACCTCAAAAATGTGTACTTCTGCCCCCCATCTATCGTCTGCCAGTTCTTCAGCTCTAATCCATCCGTGGAGGAAGTGGTGTGCCGACCGCGGTAGTGGCTGGGTCTGGTCATCAGTCCAGATTTGTTGCTCATGTGAGGTCTTCACTGCTGCTTTTACTACAAAATTATGAACTCTCAAGGCGACTGGACCCTAAAATGCAAAAAACATATTTGAAGATATTCTTCTAATTAAACTAGAGGTTTTAAGTGTGGGAGAGCCATGCTTCATCGCGTGAGTGAGGTTATCGGAGGCCTAGGTATCCCCCCTTCTTAGTTTCCCGAATCCCCGAATCCTCCACAATCCTGATAACGCACTTGTAACGCCTTGGTGTTTCGGGTGTCCATGGGTAGCGCCAATTGCTTACCATCAGGTGATCCGTCTGGTCGTTTACCAGCTTATGCTATAAAAAAAAGATTAGGATTTTTGACAAATTCTCATTATTAGTATAATCTGTAATTATGACAGGTTTTCGCTTTTTATGACGCCGATTATGAATGATAAACGCGATGATCATAGCGCCTGTTTTCGAACCAGTCAATGGTTATGGGAGTAACATTTGTTTACGTGGGACAAATTCTCCACAACCCCCCAAAACCACTGCAACTTACAAACCAGGATCTACGGTAGATACAACAATGAAAACACCGGATCATTGAAGTCCAGCGCGTCACAGGGACACGAATATCTGTCTTGGCTCCCGCATTGAAATAAATCTGAAGATATTAGTTTATTAGAGGAGAAGAAAAAAACGATAATACGAATAAGGTTACATTGCCTAATTCATTTAGTATACCTCATAGTCATCGGTAGATAATGGCAAGGCTGTTAAAATAAAATTCGATATCTTACCAAACCCCAACTATCTATTTGCAGTTCGTTATCTCGGAACTCTCTGAAAGGACACTCGAAGGGAACTGCTTCACTTACAGCAGGCCTTATATTTTCCAAACCCTTCTTCGACATTTTTGGAGTAACCATAATAAAATCTACGGTTTAATGTAATTATGAACAAATATAAATATAATCATTTATCGTCATTTTTGATTGACAACAAAACTTGTGTCAAGTTTGACATTGCTAAAATATCAAATAAGGACCTATACTTATTATACTCTTTGATTAGGGACTTCATGTAAAATTGTGTTAAAACCTTCAAAGCAATTTTTACTCTTTGCAGTCATTATAAGGTCCAACCACTTGTCACTCATTTAGTGTTTCAACTGTCCATGGGAGGCGATGATTCCTTACCTATCTCACCCTTAATAAAATAAAGATGTAGATTGTAGATAAAGAAATATGTAGATTGTAGATAAATTATGAAAAATAAATTGCATAAAAATTAAAAGTAGTCCACTGTTCATCTATATTCTATTGGCTCTTAAAGCCCCTAGGAGACAAATGTCCTGAGCGTACGGCGCGTCACGTTCCGCGTGCGCCTCAAAGAGCCATCAGACCACCACAGATGGGGCCCAACAGGGCCGATGCCGATTCGGAGTCGCAGAGAACCTAACGGGTAACCGGGGCTCCGGCTCGACGTGCAGGAGAAGGAACGGGGTGGTTTTTAGTCAGTAAGAGTCTGACACTCCCTCCCGCCTCACCCAGGCGGGAGCAGTCATTCGATGATTTTCCCCCCTTAAAAAAAAAAAAAAATGTCCTGCAACTTTGGTTGCCAGCGACATTCGGTGTAGTAGCACGACGTTGCCGAACTTTGGTCGACATATCTGGCAACATCAACGTTGCTGTGGACATAAGGCGCACGTTGTCGCCTTATATTATGTCGGGCGAAATCGGAAAGCTCCGCTTGACAATTCGACGATACATGTCGTAGGACATTAATTGGGATGATGACAGGGTATGAAAATTAAAAATCTAATTAGTCCGTAAGTTAGGTAATGAAAAAATATTAGACACGTATTTTTTTATTTTGTCGTTTAATAAAACAATACTTAGATAAAATCAAAGTTTATGAAAGCTAAAACGTCATTTCTACGTGTAAAATGCATATAGAAGTGACGTCACGCGACATTTCAAATCAATATATCGTCGAAAGTATTCGTTTCTGTAAGAAAATAAAAAATACGTGTCTAATGATTTAAAACAATCTACAAGACGGACATTAAAATAAAAATTAGGCGTCTACCCTATTGTACCCTAGTGTATTCTTGATTTTAATTTCACTGAAGGACAAAATCTTCATTAGACTGCTGCTATTAATAGTTTGAACAAACAATAAACTATTATAAAATAAACATAAGAAACGGTGCTAATTGATGCAATTTCGTTAATAGCTGTTTAAAATAATAAATGTTATCAGTGGCTGTTGTATAACCACATACATAATACGATGTCGGCCATTAAATAAATGCCGAAGACGTTATTGCGGTCAGTATTACGTAAAAATATGCAGTTTTAAAAGGTAATGCGTATACCAAGTAGGTGCTTGACACCTGCCTCACTAGAAGACTAGCAATTCACTTGAATGGGCTATGTTATTTTAATAGGCTAGGTATAGTATTGTAGTAGGTCTCTGTTGAACTTACTTACACGGACTAAGAAATAAAAGACATGCATTCTTTGACGCTGATTTGATATAAAGTGAAGTGAGTAAAGCAAGTGTGGGAGAGCCATGCTTCGGCACGAATGGGCCGGCTCGACCGGAGACATACCACGGCCCCACAGAAAACCGACGTGAAGCAACGCTTGTGTTGTGTTTCGTCGTGTGAGTGAGGTCATCAATTCAAGGATTGGAGAAGGGTGGGGGGGAGTAATTGGGCCTCCTTTATGTCTACTTTAGTTGACTAGTCGTTTTTAGTTAATTCAGTATGTCTCACGATAGTTATTATCAAAACAAGCTGAAATATTGTTACCTTGGACCTGTATTTTTATGTGAATGTATTATAATATCAGATGAATGATGATAAATGATAACATAACATCACGCCTTTTATCCCCGAAGGGGTAGGCAGAGGTGCACATTATGGCACTTAATTCCACTGCTCAACGTGACGCCCACTTTTCACGATTTATGTTATGAGTCCCACATAATGAGGGGTGAGCCAATAGCCATATACTGGGCTCATTTCCAGACCCTGTGCTACTACTGAGATTTTTTTAAATCCTTTGCATGACCCGGGAATCGAACCTGAGGCCCCTTGCCCTGCAGTCGCACTTGCGACTACTCGGCCAATGAGGCAGTCATAATCAAATGATTTCACTAAGTAACACAACCTCTTTGTAATAAGGTCTTTTTTATACATCTATTAGTTCTTATGATGTGCACTAAATAAAACGAATACTCACGTTTTGTGACGACAAGAATTATTGCTCTTGTATTTTAGTCATTTATAATATTAAGTACCTCATTAGTTTGTTTGTGTATAGGACAGAATATAAAGTGTTTGGTTTGATTTCCGGGTCAAACAAAAAGTTTTATTATAAGATCTAGACTAGTTAAAAAGATAAAGTATTTACTATCATATATTATGATATAACTCGCAGATTTAATACAAAATCACAAGTACCTATTTAAAAGTTAGAAAATAGTTAATGAAGACAAGGAAATACCAAATGAATACAACACTCAAGGTTTGAAGGCAAGATCGCTTGCACGGCAGTCACGCTCGCGACCACAGAAATCTTCTTTATATGATCTGTGTTCGCGACCAATCAACCAAAGATACAGTCAAGATAGATAATACAATTTACTTTTTTTATGGCATAGCCGGTAAACGAGCGGACGGATCACCTGATTTTCAAAGTCAAAGTCAAAGCATTTATTTCAATTAAACCATAGTTTGGTACTTTTGAAACGTCAACAAATACAAAATAAATAATAGTCTGTCAGTCAGTCCGTCAGTGAAGCTAGGTGAAGCTAGGTGCTCATTCCAAAACGTAGATTCGAATGGAGAAGAACGAGCAAGAAACTCCATTCGTTACTCTTTTAAAAAAGTATGTTCTACAATGTCTCTGATACATATTTCAATACTGTACGCATATGTAAGAACAATGCAAAGACACGCTTGACGCATTATACTACTAACTTACTAAAATAAAAATAAAAATAATAAAGATGATGGTAAGCAATCGGCGTCGCCCATGGACACCTGGAACACCACAGGCGTTACAAGTGCGTTACCGGCCTATTGGGGATTAGGAGTTTGAGGATCGTTGAGGATTCAGGAATTGGGGAAATTGGGCCCTCGGTAACCTCACTCACACGACGAAACACAACGCAAGCGTTGCTTCAAGTCGGTTTTCTGTGAAGCCGTGGTATCACTCTGGTCGAGCCAACCCATTCGCGCCGAAGCATGGCTCTCCCACACACAATGAAGGCGAATTAATCAAGTTACCTTGCAATAAAAACACAACATACTTACTACCATTTAACGCACAACAACGTACACTACGTAAAAAAACTAGTATTGAATTCGTATGTACTATTAAGCACATTTCTTACTCTCAGCAATCCTCATTCTCATTACACTAACTGGGTCTCAAGTCTCAATGTTCATTGCAATAATTTCCCACATTAAACTAACTGGCTGTTTGAGTAGCCATCGAGGTTGTTACCCACGCTGGAGGCTTTCACGGTAAACCGGTACTCTCTACTTATTGGAACACTTCCTGCACTAAATGACGACCCATATCCGCCTACTGCTGGTATGTAGTGGTCAAATCGTAGCAATTGGTTATTGATATTGTATTGTTGTTGGTATCTTGTGGATTGGTTTTGAAAAGCAGTTGTTTGAGCTACTAAACATGATAATAATTAGATCAGATGAATAGTTTTAAGCAGGCAAAAATATAGTGAAATTGTGATATTTTAAATACGTAAAAGGTACAGACGGTTTTACAGAAAACCTGCATAAAACTACGCTTGAGTCAGTGAGGTTACTGGAGTCCTGATTTCCTGCCACTCCAGTCTTCCCAATCGTTAAATCCCTACCCCCAAAAGGCTGGCAACTCCTCTGGTGTTCCGGGTGTACATGACCGGTGAGAGTTGCTTATGAATACGATTAAGTCCGTCTTCTCATTTGCTGGCCTATCCCATACTTATAAATTCCACAAGAAGGTAAGCAAAAAGACATTCATATAAACACATAAAACTTGACATTAATTTCACATATACTTCTGCTTACCCCTCTACGAAACTACACGCCAAACAAGTCTGCAAAAGAGCACGACTCGGGAAGGAAATCCACCTGTCTTAAAGGTCACTTGCACTGGGCTCCGCATCAAGCTATACAATTCAATTTATCATGGTCTATCATTGCACGAAATCTCTGAATAGTCAACGATCAGTTTATACTGGATTTTCATCGCTCGATGTGTATGAATCACTTGGATAACTTTCTCCCAAAGTTATGATGCGATAACACTGAAATTATTAACAGCTTGCATTTCTTTTTGTGAATCATACAATGTAGTATGAAGATGTTGGAAGACATCCTATTAAAATTTTGAGTCATAGAGTTTTTATGAGTCAGTCAGTAGTATAAAATTTGTGAATCAAAAAATTATGCATCCTTTTGATTTTGATAACCGATTAACATGATTCAAAGTCCTGCATGATTTTTGATAGTATGACTGCTGTATTGGTAGGATACCTGTCTGTTGTTATTATGCCACCACACGTGACTCACATTCTAGGTTCTTTAATAATTTCTAGGTTGGTTTCTGAATTTTTGATTTCCGGCCTCTTTCTAAATTGAAATCGACTTAGGTAATAAAATAATCTTCTATTCTCCTCTCTCAGAATGTATTAGTAGTTTTTTTTTCACATATCATAACATAACATAACATCACGCCTTTTTATCCCCGAAGGGGTAGGCGGAGGTTCACATTTTAGCACTTAATGCCACTGTACAATGTAACACCTACGTAATTTATGTTATAAGTCCCATGTGTTAGGGGGTGCGCCTATTGTCATATACCGGGCATATTTCCAGACTCCGTGCTACTAC